GGCGATGGTACGATATTCTGCGGCCTGCTGACCAGTCGCGCAGAATCTTTCGTGCAGTTTTCCTTCTCCTTCTCTTGTTGCGATGCCACGTAGGTTCTTTGCAGAACTTCGTAATCACCAACTTGCGGAAGGCACCTAAAAAGGACAGCAATGTAGGCCACCAAAAAGATACGAACCACTGCAACCATGAAAGGACGCAGCGGCCCTGAGGCTACCGGCTAATCCTACCCCACACAGAAGGGGACACTTCCTGTGCAGGGTCAGAGCCGAACCTTGGATCACTAGATGAAATATTGAAAGATATGAGAGCAGCATCTCAAAATACGACTAGTAACAAAGACATCGCTACTAGTAGCGATCGGACGCTACGAACGTAGCTCGTAGCTCCTGGCCTTACTAGGAACAAGGACTAGACCGAAGGTAGCTCCTAGGCTTAAAAATGAGTTGAGGCCGAGGAACGGATGCAAGGCATTCACCTGGACCGAGCCAAAAGAAGCCAAAGATCTCAGCATGCTTTCCGCGTCGTGGCTGGGCAAACCGACCTGGCTTGGCCGCTGGTGGCCTGGTGATGGTGCGGTCCTGTGGATGTTCTACACCGCAACGCAGCAACTAGTAGCTTCTTGCTCCGTTCGTAGTACGGCCAGGAGCCCCTAGTAGCGTCCTGGCTCCTAGTAGCGATGCGAGTAGCTTCTTGTTACTAGTGGCAAATGTCATCCTGCACTGAGTTGCGCAAGATGAAGCCTTTAGAAGTTTGCGGTAACACCAACCAAGTGTGGCAGCCGTCTTCGTCGTTCGCACGTGCACTTCGGTCACCGATGATACTGGTTAGCAGCATGTGCATATAGGGCGGTTATATCGAGCGGAGGTGCGGACCAATCCCCAAATCATCGCTACGAACGGAACAAGAACGCTACGTTCAGGGCTCCTGGCCATACTACGAACGGAGCGATCGGACGCGAACCGAACGGAGGAAAGGGCATCGCGGCATCGCTCATTGAAAGAGACCAGGGACAATGGGACGTCAGACCGGACAACCGGACACATTGCTGCTTTCCCAGCTTTCTCAATCACGTTCTCCGTCGCGTCCAACCGGACGACACGTGACGTCAGACGGCGCTGCACGGCTTCTCTCCAAGTTGCACGGCTTCTCTCGAAGCCCGGCAAGGGAGCTGCCACCAAGTTCTGCCACTCCTGGTCCAGGGGCGATCGACTTGAGAGAGTGAAGTAGTTAAAACTTTTAGGAGAGAAACTGGTTGTTCCTGGTTTTGGGGCTCTGCCCTGCCTCCCTACTTAATTGAGGAGTTCGCTCCTAGCTACTGGGACTCTCCTTTTTGGGGATGCAGACAAGCTCCCGGCAGGGGGGGGGGGTGCGCGGTTTCACACCGTCGGTGTCTGGGCACCGGGTCCGTGACACCGTTCATCGGTGTCTGAGCCCCGGAACTCGTAGCGTCCTTGATGCTGTAACAAGAAGCTATTAGTAACAAGGTGCCACGCTAGTAGTCACAAGGTGCCTTACTAGTAGTAACAAGAAGCTATTAGACTTAAAGTTAAATTAATAGCTTCTTGTTACTACTAGTAAGGCACCTGTTACTACTAGCGTGGCACTTGTTACTACTAGAAACCTGTTCGAGAAGGCTTATAGGAGTGTAAAGCTTCCCCCTCTGGCCCCTGGGAACCCTTCTTCAGTACGAGCGCTTCTTCAAGGAAGCACCGTGAGTCACCATACGGTGCTTCGCCCCAACAAAATTCCAGCCCGGCATGAGCTGGGAACACATCAGCCCGTTTTTCCTGAGGGCCTGTCAATAACATCTGCCTTGTAGAACCCAGTGGTCTTGCTTTTGTTTTATGATGTTTTTTGCAATATTAGGACCTACCGTAGCAGGAATCTTGAAACGCGGCACATGCATCCTGCCTGGAACTTTTGCGAGCCAATAGGATCTCGAAACAAGTGGCTTTTCGCCATAAGAACCTCCACGTCTGTGCCATGCCTCAGCAATGATTGTCCTGCTTCGACATTACGCTCATCAAGGTACTCAAGAAACTTTGACATTACGCTCATCGATATTTGCCTGTTTCGTGGCATTTGTGCAGTATTGACTACGCTACTCTATGACGTGTTACCACGTTTGCCTTGTTTGCTTTGAAGTGGTCCCACCCCACACCCCTGCGCTCTCGCTAGTTAAGTATACGGTACATGTATGTGCGTGGTAGAAGAGCACAGCTGAGCGACACCAGCATGCGTGGACCTCTATTCTATCTCACCTGGCGTTAAACTACAAGGTGTCTGTAACTTGGCACATCATGCCCTCAGTCTGAATGGAACCCCTTCGTGGTGGACTTGCGCACGCACACAAGTTCTTTCTTCGCTCAAGGCAGTGTGGCAGACGTTAAGCACCATGCCCCACACAGTTGGATGTTGTTTGCGCTCGCTAGCTCACTCACCCAACGCATCCGATGGCCAAGAGTATACTGAGAGTACACCGAGCACGGAAACTAGCACACGTCAAGCAGTCCTAGTTGCATGCATGTGCATGCTACCTGGTGCAGGCTGGCTCATTTGCATGGGCTACAGTAGTGCGCAGGTCCAGTGTCTAGTGGGCTTAATGGAGCCCGCATGCCGCATGGGGTGGACTACTTCACGAAGGCATCTGATGGGCAACGCTGAGATCACTAGAATGGGCCTTGGAAATGTTTGGGCGTTCAGAGGCATGGGCGGAATCAATTCTCTAAAAATCGATCGACCCCAGGTCGAGTGTGGGAAAGGACTGAATGACTGTCCACACAAACTCAGCACACATGGAGTCATGGCGTTGCAGCCAAAGCACTTATTCACCTTGGTGCCCAGAGTTCAGAGGGAAAAAAGAACACGAGGGGGTTATTCTGAAGTTTGTAGATTCGATCGGATGCGCATTTGCACTGGAAGCGTTCAGAAGCTTCCCCTCCAGGGGCCTTCTCCATGAAATCGATGACGCACCAAACATCCACCAGCGCGGCGGAGCATCTCTCCTTTTCGGCCAGCAGGGCTGATAGAGGCTGCCGACCTCAGAGCGGCTCGCGCTCAGCGGCTCGGTGGCCAAACGTCGCGTCCGATCGCTCCGTTCGGCCCTGTGCTCCCGTTGGTTTCGTCCGATCGCTCCGTTCGTAGTAAGGCCAGGAGCCCCGAACGTAGCGTCCTTGTTACTACTAGTAAGGCACTTGTTACTAGAAGCGATGCACTTGTTCCTAGTAGCTTCTTGCTCCTAGTAGTAAGGCCAGGAGCCCCGTTCCTAATAGCGATGGCCTCCAACCTAGTTGCACATGGTGAACCGCTGCTTCTCAAGTGACATCGTCGTATTTTCCTGGACTTGATTTGGCCAAGAGGTGTCCCAAGTCCTAGTCAAGGTGTCCACCAATGACCAAGACTAGTCTGACTACTATTTTTCTACTTTTTTAGACCTTTTGGACCTTTTCTAACCTAATTGCGCTGGCCTCCAACCTAAGAGCCCCTCCGTCCAAGTCTTTCTGCCAGAGATGCCATTCTCTTGCACATGCTGCAGCAGCTCTGCGCACCGCAGCTCCGCTGCGCGGTTCAGCTCGTCAAAGGCTGCAGAGATGTTGGACCGGGCCTCGCGACAGGCAGACGGGGCCAATGACAGGACCGAAACTTTGGGTCTACGGTCTATCCGATGTTAGCTAGATTACTTACTGGCAATGGTTTATCCAACCTACTAGCGATGGCCTCCAACCTATGATGATAGTTAGTAAAGGCCTTTCTCTAAAATCGTGATATATAGTAATAAGTTGTTTGCTGACCATTAGAGGTACAGTAAGATGATGTGACTATCTCTACTTTATATTACCTTGAAGAACGCGAAATGATGTGACACGCACAACATCGACCTGATTCGACCTGCAAATTATGCAGAGGCAACATGGCCTGCATGCAGGCCATCTCTGAGGACTCGACACCTGGAAAAGAAGCGCGGCAGCAATAAAACCATCGCATGTTTGCTGCTTGCTGTATCGTGCATGAAGCAGTTCTCGGGTGTCTAAATTCTGGCCGAGCATCTTTGGCTCAAAAGCTTTTGTAAGGCTTGGTCATCCAAAAGCTTGTGGCAAAGGGATTCAATGATGTCTTTGACACGCTGGCGGTGCTTCCTTGGCAGCACACTCCGAATAAGTTCGCAACGATCTTGGCGTATCTTCACAATGCTGTTGATGTTGGGGTCAAGGCTCCCACAAGGGCATCTCTTCCGTGGCAAAGTCAATTCGGCAACTGATGCGGTACTTCTACGTGCTGCGTACTTGCCGCCAGAATTTTAGAATTTGGGTGTAGGGTTAGCAGCGTAAGTTTCACCCTAACATGATGTATATAAAACACAACGCACTGTTACAGCATTTCCTGATGCATGCTTGTTTGCCAGCAGGCTGCGTGCTGCGCCAGCTAGCTACAGTAGCTTGCTCTATGGCTTTGCTTGCTGGCTGGTTTGCTCGCGTGCTGTGTCTGTTTGGCTCGCAACGGGGCATCTAGCGGTGCAGCAAAAAGCACCACAGCTCCTGTTTCTGTCGAGGAGCTCTATCAAAGAAGCAGATGGTAGTCTGTACCTTGTTTCATGAAGCGGAGGCAGCAAGCCCTTGATCGTGCACTGCTGTGGAGGACGTGATTGCTTGAGGCCAGCACGAGCATTGCTGATGGTCATGTCCTCAGCAGCAACTGAGATGGAAAAGAAAAAAAGTGGATGGGTGCAGAACTACTGCTGCCAAAGGAACTTGCACATTCATTGCAAATCAACCTTTCACAATCTTCGCCTGACCAAAGGTGACAAAAAAATGGTTTGAGGACCATGCCTACCCCATGTGAGCTGCTGGTTGTTGTCCCTGCAATGTTGGTCTCACAAACACAACTAGAAGGTAGGTCTCAGATATTAGGCCTTTCATTTTGTCCTTCTATGTTCTCTTTAGTAATTGGAAACAACAAGCTACTAGGAACAAGTGCATCGCTTCTAGTAACAAGTGCCTTACTAGTAGTAACAAGGACGCTACTATGTTCTCTTTAGACCTCTTTAGACCTTTGGACCTGTCTTGGTCATTTTCTCAGCTCAAGGGCCGTCGGTCTCAGATGCAGTTTGCTAAAAGGCTCGGCTTCTATAGGACCTTTTGAACACTGTCTCGAAGAAGATTCCTTTCCTCATCCGAACCCCTTTTTCTGTTCATGCTCTCCCATCGAGCATGTCTCTCTTCCAATCGAGCATGTCCGGCGCACAGTAGAGCTCGTAGCGGCTGGTGCGGTGGATCGCGCAATACTGCGCACGGTGGATGTTGCGGACCTGGCGCCCCAATCGGTGCCCCGGTGCCAGACGGCAGTGCTTGGCTTGGCTTAGGGCCATCGCTAGTAAGGCTGGAGGCCGGGCCATTGCTATTGGGAGCGATCGGACGCTACGAACGGGGCTCCTGGCCATACTACTAGGAGCAAGGACGCTGGTAGGCTGGAGGCCATTGAGGGGTCAACAGTTTTCCACATTCTTCGTGGCATCACTCCAGGCACTGCGACTGCCTCGGCCCCTTGTGGACCTTGGCCAACTAGGGTCACCAGCACGTGGTTCGTGGTTGCTCGTCGGCGTCTGTGCCTGACTTGCCAAACTGGAGGAGCACATTCAACTGCAAACAGACAGAGAAAAGAAAGACAATTTTATGTTTAGGTTGGAGGCCATCGCTCTTGGCTTGGGTCCAAGTGTCTGCTTAGTACAGCTCTCACATAAATTCATGATGCATTCCTCGCAATATGTTTCGGCTCCTGGGCCAGTACCCACGAGGTGGGCGTAAAGAAAAAGAGTTGAAACTGATGCGTCGCTAGTTGTCAATCGCGAATGGAAAAAGTCAAAAGGCATAAGTTGCTCGGCTCAAGCCATCTGTATGCACCCCCATCTTCCAACAGAAAAACAGGTACGAGTAGCTTTGACTCCATGCAGCTGGTTCGTCTCAGATCTATAGATTTAGATGATCTTTGGGCCTCACTCTACGATGCAAACTCCCACGGACACTGATCACACCAAGTTCATTCAAGTATCGGTAGCCGGAGGTGCATTCTTCGCAAAGGAAATCACTCTGGGCCACCTTTTGACCATCGATGTCATGCAGCATATCAAAGTTTGGAAGATATTGATGCAGAGCTTGCCTCGGGGAAGCTTTGCCACTCACTCTCCGAAAAAAACAAGTCGCCAGCCCGGTGACTACAAAAATAGTTTAGGTCACACACGGTGACATGGTTCATAGGGTTTGAAAGGCCGAGGAAAAACCTTGCGTCTTCAGAAAGCTGATGCGCATCTTTTGCGTTCGTCGGCCACATCTGGGGCAGTCAAAGGCATCCCCATCGCTGCTGGCCAGCAAGCTCTGAAGACAGGCAGCACAAACGCTGTGGAAGCATGGCCTCGGTGCAAAAAGCTCACAGGAAGGGCTAGTGACGTCACAGATCTCATGCAAAAAATACCACATGCAAGCCATATCTAAGAGTGATGGCCTCCTACCTAAGAGCGATGGCCTCCAACCTACCATAAATGGTATATAGTACACGCTGCTGTGTACTCGTTTTATGCAGATAAGCCGAAGTAGGGTGTGGAAACGAAAGGTCATGGGAAGTCCCATGAGTTAAGCGGGTCTGGTCGACTTGGTCGAGACGAAACGCGTCTCCGTCACGCCGAGAAACAGGACTTTGACCTCATGACGGCCTTCATACAATGCAGTCTCATGCAAGTCGCGCATGCACATCACACAGCCCACCTCGATCTCACAACGGCAGAACTGGGGACAACATGTGAGGATAAAAAACATGTTGAAAGTAGATCAACAAGAGTCCTTGCCCCTAGTAGCGGTGCCAGGAGCCCCTAGTAGCTTCTTGTTCCTAGTAGTCAGGCCAGGAGCCCCTAGTAGCGTCCTTGCTCCTAGTACCGATGCCAGGAG